GACTGTGTTTTTTAGTGTTGCTGAAGTTGCCCAGGTGCTGAACAGCACCGAACTAATGTTGATGCTGACAGTGATTGCCAGAGATGCTCTTTTTTAAAAGATTTTTAAAAGGTGGAAAATGGGCAAACTTAGTTTTTGCTCTAAACTCCAATAGATGTTCTCACTAACAACACAGTGTCACACCTACTGAGATGCATTACTTTAGCTGGTATTGTGCCATCCCTGCAGGTCCTAGAATAGCCTGTGTGCTTTTGCCCCCATTTATTTGAAAGCTCAAATGCACTTTTTTGTACATCTTTTTTTCATTATACATGATTTTTTTTATAGTTACAACTAAAGTAGCTATTGAATAAAAAAAAGAACAGTAACTAAAATATTTGATTCAAACATTTTCAGCAAATTCAGAGCAGATCCAAAAATTTAAGGGTTTCTTTTGCTATCGTTAACAATCCAGTGAATTTTACTGATGAGTATCACATTTTTTTGGCTATTTGAAACACTATTTTGATAATTAATTTATCAGCAATAAATGCCAGAAAATTTTGTTTACTCTATTAGGAAATTTATATAACACTTGTAAGGTCAATTTTTAGCAAAAGTTAGCTTCTCTGTTTATAAAAAAATGCTTTTCCTGTGCTTGAGAAATACTATGCTTCTGTTTCAAATTCTTCAAAATACAATTTTAATATATGTATCTTTTATATTGAGACTTTTTATCATAGGCACCTTTTTTTTTTAAACAATTACTGCAGTAATTGGGCCAAATCCCTGAATCAGAAGAGAATTTAAGAGTTTAACTTGTGAGTACTAACACCTGGTTTTTGAAAAATGAGGATACATTGCCTTTGTCATGAAAGAAAACACATCTTTGCCCTCTTTATGAGATTGCCACATTGGTAATTATTAGGTTGATTCAGTGCTGAGTCATTAATCCTAAATTATCTTCCCATTTTTTTTCCAAATTCGTCAGTAAAAATCTGCTGGAAGAATACTTCTATTGACTTAGTGTCATACTGAGTTTTCTTAGATCCAGATTTCAAATCCCAAGTCATTCTTCATTTCCAGTGAGAGAGAAAAAAACTTGATCCAGATCTTAAAACTGATGAAGTTTTAAGTAGCTAAAATTACACAGATTTGTTGAATTGAAATTAAGGCTAAATTGCATGAAAATTGTACGACCAGCTAGAATTTTAATGTATTTGCTGTTTGTAAATTAAAGATAATTTATGATACTCTTTAAGAGCATAATTTTATCACTATGAGAAAAGAAAGTAGACAAAATTTTCCCACCGAACTTTGTGTAGCCTATGTGACTGTCCCCTTTTGTCATGTGACTTTTTTTTAGCTTTAAAACAAATTTAGGTTTGTTCAAATGAAGAGGATTTACTTAAGCACAGTATTGGTATTGCTTTTTACTTTGCAATACCAGCTGTAACTACTATGCAAATTCACAAATTATTTTTATCATCAGAAAAATCTAAATCTTTTCATCCAGCCTTGAAGACTTTCATTTTACAGTGAGTTTGCTTGACAATACTTTGCTTTAATTTCCTTTAAAAAGGGAAAAATAATTTTAAACATAAAACTTCACTGAAGAACTTTCTATAAGTCAGGAAATCAGAGTATCCTAGAGTCAAACTACTTGCCTGACTTTCTCAGACTTTGATCCCTACTATCAAGTCAGTTCATGTCAAAGTTAACAACTACTTTTTTCTCTCTGAATAAAAATTTTGATCCTCCAGTCTCCTCTCCTTGCTTCTTTAAAATAAGATCTTTGCAAATATGATAGAAATACGAAATAGTTCAACTTCTCTTATTTATGAGGAAGTTATGAACCAATGTCTTATAATATGCATCATACTGGTACTTGGAATTCACCAGTGAAGATGCTGTGATCAAACAGTAGGTTGAGTCACTTTTCAGAGAAGAAAAGTTCTAGGTAAGACAAGGGAAAAAAACCATGAGAAATTTTGTGTTCTCCCTTGGATATTTAGTGGAAGATACTAAAACATACATACAAGTTAAATGTACGCTGTGAAGTGGAACTCAGATGCAAGGTGGAAGCTGAGAAGTGTCTTACTCTACTCTTACATCTCACAGAATAGCAGATGCAGCAGCTCCATGTGCTAGGAAGTTTCCATAAGAAACAGTCGAGGGGGGACACTTAAAACTCAGGCAAGTATTCAAAATTGGGAAAGCATTCAAAACTATGAGCCTTGTCATCAACATTTTACCTGTCTTCCCTAGGATACCAGCTCAGAATCTGGGTGCTCAGCTAATGGTAAAACATTATTTTGATTTATATTTTATGTTTTCAGTCCACATATTAAAATCCTATAATTGTTGTCTCATTTCCATCTTTGAAATCTATCCCACCTCAAATAAATACATATCTACTTTAATAATAGATATTTTTCTTGATAAGGAAACAAACGGAAAACATTCCAAGAAAGAATAAAAAACAAATGGGTTTTATTTATTTATTTTTCTAACAAGAATATTTATTGTTTAAAATTTGTTTTAGAACATTTTTAGTGATTAACTCTTGTCCTGCCTGTGACAAATGAAACCAAATGTCACTCTGAAGTTATGCTTTGTTGGACATTCATATTATATTTATATTTATATGATCATCCTTAAATGGATGAGTATAGTCCCTGGACACCATATTGTTTTTTTAATATAGAGATTAAAAAATATTCCTAATCTATGGTAGAAAACTGTCATTGCTCGGAGTATAAATACCAGTGAATGACTGTCAAGACACATAAGACCAACAGTGAAAGTTCAGCTTAGCTTAAAAGAACTCATCAAATGTGAGTTCAGTTGCTTTTTTTTCAAGCAAACTTTCCTAGACTTTTTTTAACCACTTTTTTTTTTCCAGCTTTACACAACCAACTAACCTAATACTTTGCTCTTTCACTGCTCTGTAAAGTCTAGATTTTAGGTGCCATGACATTTGATACTGAATCCAAGTTACCAAACGGTTTTGACTGTAGGAGATGCTGGCTGCATTAAATGGCTACTGAATGCCAAGAGACAAATATGAATTCAGAATTTGTAAGAATCTGGCAGTGTTCAGATGTTGCATGGAGTTGTGTCCCCCTGTAGTCTCGAAAGATGTGTATGCCATTATGCTTCAAAGAAGTAACCTCTGGTCTGCATAACTTTGTGAATAAACAGTGATGACAAAATTTTACAGAAAAATTCCAGTGAACAGGAAAGGACTCTAGATTTTCTTGAAAATCTGAAACATTTTCATTTGATTGTCCCAAAAGTGAAAAGGGAGTAAAATTTGTGCTGTAAGTGTTTTTATTTAAAATTCACTGGTGGAAGAGATATTCTAAATTTCTTATTCGGGCCAATAGTATGGTTCTGAGAGTCTTAAAAAAGTTTTTTTTATATGCAGTTTTTAATGAGGAAGTCATTAGAACTGAAAAATAACCAAATTTCACTTTCCTTTTTCCCAAGTCTCAGTGTATCTGTTTTGAATAATTACAGCTTCTTTTACTTTGAGATAGCTGCACTGATACTATGTGGATATGGAAAGGACATTTTCAAAGACAGGTCACTGACAGTAAAAAGGTTTACTATTCCTTGTATTTCCCCCTAATATTTTCCCTTTTAGTTACTAGCAGCAGTGTCATATTAAATGACTTCCCCCTTTAAACTGTTAAGTGGTGCTAGTTCAGTTTTAGCAGTAAGTCGCCAGCAGACTCCGGGGAGAAGTGCTATCTCCTATGGCCCTGAAAATTGATATTGAACATGGAAGGAAAAATCTCACAAGCTGATAGCAATTAGCTAAAAAGGATTTGCGACTCCATGATTCATCACACTAGGGGATCAAAGTCATTTACAGAAAGTGTTTCTACAGTCCCTGCCTGCCGCTCTAAAGATATACCTCTGTTTATCTCTCACACTGCGGTGTGACATTTCCTTTTTTAAGAGCCCATTTTCTTAGAAACGTAGCACTGGGCTGCTGCAGCACAGGCAGTCTTTGATTCTCCACTGACAGCCTAAATGACACGATGGCTCTAATGGCACAGCTTTAGCAGGAGCTTGCAAAGGGAATTGGACTTATTATTTACATAAGTGGACTAACAGGTCAGGTCTGGTACTTGCTTGTAAAAATGAGGACAAGGTCTTCTTGTGGCAAGCAATGTAAGGCAGGTCTCTGGTTCTGGAGCTCTGTGGAGCTTTTATGATTTTTTTTTACACTGGGAACACTAACTTTCACAATTAAACATCACTTTCTATACAAGATTTTAGAACTATCTTATAACAGAATCCTATATAATTTTGTCAGAAGATTAAAAGAGACCTACCTCAACACCAAAGACTGGTTTTTGAAAAATTTTAATTTTTTTTGAGAAGATCTATATTCCTCTATGCTTCCAAAACTCACTTTAACACTTTGAAAACAGCCTCATTTTTCAAAATGTAATTTTGCTTTTATAATAGTATGATATGAAAGGAAAAAAAAGAAAAAAAACCCCACTACATTTTGCCATTTCCAGGACCAAAGTTTCCCTGTTATCTCAGTAGTAGGAATTAGATTTGTTTCTCAGAGGCACAACCTGAAATCATGGAAATCTTATAATTTCTAAAGATATTTTGTTCACTAAGGTTGGAAACACTGAGCTCCATAGTGGAAGGCAAAATGGAGTTTGTTCAGTGATAATTTTGTTATAGGGTTCCTCAGGTTTATTTTAGTCAGAGTTTTACAAAAGGGTGACATTTTCAGTAGCCTTATCCTAACTGCTGGTTGTATCACTCCTTCGATAGTGAGTACTAATTATGTATGAAAAGTTCACAGTGATGTGGCTGTATTTACTCTTAAGTGGTAGCTTCTAATTAGTACCAATTACTTTGCTGTGAATCCAACCCTAGAAACAACAAAGCACGCAAGACTTGACGGGGGAGGGGGATAACATCAGGTTTGTCTGTGACAAAATGTGGGATGACACACCAAGGTTCCAGGGATGGTGTGCTAGCGAAGGATCTCAGCCTGTTGCTCTGAGACATTCTGTGTACACTGCAGAACACTTGAAGTCTTACAGAGGTGAGTCAGGGGCTCCTGAGCCAATAGGAGACAGCAGAGAAACACCAATGAAATACCTTAAAGATGTGCTTCTTTAAGAGGGTGACAGAAAATGCAGATGACAGGAAGATAGATCTTGCAGTTGGCTTGCCCTGAAGGATGAGATGTCATCTAGAAGTCAAACTCAAATAGTAGGCCCAAAGACCAATTGCCAGGTGCTACTCCTGGATCAGGGCAATCTCAGCATCAATGCAGGCTGGGGGATGGACAGATCAAGAGTAGCCCTGCCAAGAAGGACTTTGGGGTGCTGATGGATGAGAGGCTGGACATGAGCCGACAATGTGGACTCACAGTCCAGAAAGCCAGTTGTGTCCTGGGCTGCATCAAAAACAACGTGGCCAGCAGGTCGAGGGAGGTGATTCTGCTGTCTTGGTGATTCTGCTATCCTGCTTTCTTGAGACCCCACCAGGAGTGCTGTGTCCAGCTCTGGGGTCCTCAGCATTGAAAGGACATGGACCTGTGGAAGGGAGTCCAGAGGAGGGCCCAAAAATACTTCTCCTACAAAGACAGGCTGAGAGGGCTGGGGTTATTCAGCCTGGAGAAGAGAAGTGTCCAGGGAGACCTCATTGCAGCCTTTCAGTGCTTAAAGGGGGCTTATAAGAAAGATGAGAAAAAACTTTTTAGGAGGACCTATTACAATGGGACAAGAGGATATGATTTGAGACTGAAAGTGGATAGATTTAGATTGGACATAATAAGGAATTCTTGACAATGAGTGTGGTGAAACACTGGAACAGACTGGCCAGAGAGGTGGCAGATGCCCCATCCCTGGAAATATTCAGAACCAGATTGGACAGGGCTCTGAGTAACTTGATCTAGTGGAACATCTAGTACAGGGGGAGTTGGACTAGCTGACCTTTAAAGGTCCGTTCCAAGAGAAACCCTTCTATGGTTCTATGATAGAATCATAGAATCAGACAGGTTAGAAAAGACCTCTGAGATCATCAAGTCCAACCCTTGATTCACTACCACCACTAGACCATGGCGCTAAGTGCCACATCCAGTTTCATCTTAAAAACCTCCAGGGATGGAGGATCCACCACTTCCCTGGGTAGCCCATTCCAGTGTCTGATTACCCTCTCTGTAAAGAATTTCTTCCTAATATCTAACTTAAACCTCCCTTGGCAGAGCTTAAGACCATGCCCTCTTGTCTTACTGATAATTGCCTAGGAGAATATGATAATATGACCTACAAAATACAGAAAACCTAGAAAGACCTTTCTTGGGTTGTTGAACTATTTTTATTTTATGTAGTCATCTGCAGCTCCTAGAAGTGGGTGGGATTTATATACAAGGGTGTAAATTTATTTACTCAGTTTTCTATTAATTCGGTAACTTAAACTATGCCTATCCCAATGTTTACCAGAATGTTTTGGTATTTTGGAATTAATTCTTATTAATTCTTCACATACTTTCATATGACATGAACAAGACTACTACAGTTCTTCTAGTTATCTTTGTTTTATTTTTTTTTCCCATTAACACTCTTCTGCCCCCCTTTCCAGAAGGTAGCTTTATAAGTCCATCCAAATATCTGTAGGAACATTACATAATGCCTGCACATGAAGGATCATGAATATGTAGCTGGTAGGACAAAGACTGCAAGCAGAACATAATTTCAGAGCTTGAGATTTGTATTTAAGTTTCAGTGCCAATATCTGTTCCTGTGATTATTCTTTGTGTAGGGTGCCTCTGGTAGCTTCCTGCTTTGACTTATTGTCCAAGTAACACCTGGGAAGTGGTTTATTACAGCATCTTGTGTGCTAAAAAAAATCTGCCTCAGGAGTTATCTCTTCTTATAGGAAATAAATGTTCCTTTGGATTCAGTGCTGTAGCTTGCAGGTATATCTTACACAGTGTAACCTGAAAACCCCAAAAGTTTTTGGTACATACCTTGGAACCCAGTAGATTTGGAAAATAAACATTCAGGACACTGGTTTGTGTGCTCAAACAAGGCACAAGGCCAATAAAGCCCAAACGCCTATTTCTTGTAGTACAAAGACAGAAACGGATCCCTCATCAGCAAGGGAAATGCGGTCCTATAAGAAGTGGTCATGTCCAGTCTCAGTCTGTTATCACATATGCTAAAACCAGTAGCAAGATGTTAATGTTGCTCCTCTTTAGAGCAGCAGCAGAGTGCTCTTGACAGTGCTCCCCCAGAGTCACCCTACCCTGCAACTGCCAGATGGTGCTCACATCAAGTGCACAGCCGGCACTAACCTGCTCTTCCCCAACCTATGCGAATCCCTTGAAATGGGAGGCAGAGGTTTTCCTTTGTGTCCTGCACAGAGGAAAGGAAGAGAATTTCTCTTCTTGGTGGCTTCCAAGTAATTCCTGCCGCAGAAATGGTTGTTCAAAGAGAGTGAAAACTGTTACTTAAAACCTGTTTATCCTGACAAGTTAAATTAGGAGGGAGCAGTGATTTTGGGGAATATTGAGCACCATTCTTGTACACCAAGTATGTACAGCCTTAGAGAGTCTAATGGACTAACGAGGTGGTGAAATCACATATTAAAAAGATCCAAGGCCTGAAAGAGGTTAAAATACATAAAATAGAATTAAAATTCTCTGCTTCTGATGCACAGTGAAGGGTATAACTATACAAGGGGTGTGAGTTGTGGTGAACTCTTATTTCTAGAAAGATATAAGTATTCAGAAGTAATTTTTTCAAAAATTGATGGATTTCAAAAGATATGAAGAGAAATCTCAGTAAAGCTCAAAATACTGACCTGATGCATTTCTGTTAAAAAATAATTACTGATTTCACTTTTGCAGAAGGAAGAATTAATTTCCATTTTTTTAGGATAATTTTTGCCACGTAGAAGCAGTTTTAGAAAAAGGTATTTCAAACTTTTATTATTCCCAAATATTATTTAACGTTATCTGGTGTTCATGAGTTTTACCATTGGACTGGACCCTAGTAGACTGTAACATGTTTTACCTGACTTTACGCAAATATTTACTACTGCAATAAGCTAACGGTAAATTGAAATAATTTATTTCTAATGGATTAACAGTCTTGAGTGTACTGTAATGAAAACAAACAAACAAACAAACAAATAAAAACAAACTAGAAAGTCTTCTGTGTCAGTACTACTGCCTGGGAGAAATAAGTTAATTCTCTTGAGCATCTAAACACCTAGAATCACAGAATTTTTATTTTGAATCTATCTATATGAGGCAGAAACGTCAAAATAATGGAGAGCAAAGCATCATATAACTATCAAACTGCACTCATTTACCTCAACTAAAAACCTGGCCTAGTAGTGTATATGAATGACTGTATCAACTACTGAATGATGTTACCTATATTGACAGTTCTGGTCCTGTCCACAATGTTTTCCATTCATTCACAAAATAAAGTGCATTTCTGCATGTAACCAAAGCTCATAACATGTTTATAAACATGTCATTTTTGGCTCCAGTCTTTTCAAATGAACATTTAGTAGACCAAAAAGTTCCTCAAATAAAAAAGCAGGAAAGCAAATAAGAAAGAGACCAAATGCACTTAATGTAAATGTTTGTCATTACTTACCCACATATGCCTAAAGCACCTCTTTTTGCTTAGACTGCACATATGCAAAGTGAAAATGTACATATTTCCCACTCTTTATTTCTGGGCTTTTTGCACGTTAGAAATGTTTTAACTCTGAGACCAATTTAAAAATTTGTTTGTAAATTATTTCTAGTTGCTCCTTCAATTATAATTAATTTTTGTCTGTAAAATGCATTCCTCCAACTATCTGCTGTTTTTTTCCTCTCCCTCCAGCATAAGGAGGTCCTATTTCCTTTAACATTTTGTCATTTTTTCGCATCCTTGTACTACTGGTTTTCCTTCTCCTGCTGGATCAGTAGTGCCAACATGACTGCTTATGGGACTGCTACATAAATCAGGAAATAGCCAGCTTTGTCACCTAAGGAAATGTAGCATCTAATTGCATCCAATCTGTTTTCCTTTCATGCATGCACATGCATGAATCTACTGAAGAAACAGAGAGATAGGAATCCTATGAAATTATTTTTCATCACTGCCCTCATGTTTCCTCTGTAAGTAGTACAATGGTTGCAATTCTTCAGTCTTCTTTTGCATTAGATTTGTTTTTTCAGTATTGTACTGTGACACAATGTCAAGGAAAGAAAATTAATAAAGTTAGTGATGTTTAAATCAAAATCCCTATTGAGAAAGAAAGTTTCTACATGAAACTTGTGCTTTATTCTGCCTTTTCCTAATTTTGACATAGATTTCACAATATTTTTATTCAGAAATTTTTAAATAATAAAAATCAAGTTCAAAATGTTATATATTCAAATTATCTCAATTATTTTTGAAAGAAAATTGGGTTCTGTGTTTGGTATGTGGCAGGTATTATTTTTTTGTATAAAAATCTTTCCTGTCTTTCCTGCTGGTTGATGTTCCTATGTCCAGGTATGGCATATTATTTGACCACGTTTTAAACGCACAGTTAGTATAAGTCACTTCAGAGCATGTTATTAGAGCTATTTCTTGCCTCTGGCTGATGTCCCAGAAGAAGATGATAAATCATTTGCTCATGCTAGAGAAGGGAAAAAAATAAAAATCAATGTTTAAAACTTCCATGGTCAGCTTTACTCAGGACAACTAAACTCTACAGTGACAAAATACTGATGATGTCATCAATAAAGTAAATTAATGCTGCGAACAACTAAGAATTGTGAACTACCTTGCAGCATGTTGTAGAATATGAAGAAAAGTTTTTGAGAATTAAAGTTGCAAACTCTAGTGGTTTTTGAACTCTGAGAGCACGGTGAGATTCATCTTTAAAAGCCAGTGTCTGGCTCAGAACATCTGAGTAGGCAGCAACAGGATCAAGTCCTGGAATTTTGACTCTTCTACGGCCTACTGGTAAAGAGAAAAGGTTACTGCACTCAGCCACTACAAAAGCAATAATTAGACATAGTTATGTGTATGTGTTAGTTTGAATTCATAGAGCATTTCACATACTTATTAATTTCTAGAACTGGATTTCAGCAAACAAACAAAGAAAGACAGATATTTAATTACCACAGCTGTGCTAGTTTCACATTCACATATAGTATGTAGGGTCTTTAGAAGAAAGCAAGATCACATACTACCCATTAGAGTGACCCATTTTGTAAGTAGCTCCCATGTCAATGGGCAGGGAATGATACCCTGGACTGATTTCATCTAAATATCCCATCTGCTTTAATACTTGTACCAGGAGTCTGGTCAGCTGTTACTGAAAGCGAAAGGATCTCATATCCTGACATGTCTACAAAACTTCTGCAGTCCAAGTTAGTCCTGGAGCTGGCTGGGAAGTGTACTAGTTCTGAGGGAATCCCAGTTCTAGCAGCACACGAGCAAGGTAGTCGCAGTCAGTGAACATTACTTATTGAAGTGCACTTCATCAGCTGCAAAATTGCAGTGTCAGCAACTAATCAGATCAATTTCTTGTCCTTAATTATGTTTGCAGATTCAATGTAGAGGAAAAAAGTATTGTTTTTAATAAAAACTCCAAACTGTAATATCATTACTTGGGGAAATAAAGACAAGGTATAAACTCCAAGGTGAGATTGTTATTTAAAGTAAGATGAACAACCATTATCTGACATACAGTTGGGAACAACTGTATCCTGCTAGGGGAGAGTAACTCAGTGACATCTTTCTTAACTCTAGATTTTACAGTGACATTAGCACTCAGCCCACTAATCAAAATAAAATATCCCTGGTAAGTTAATAATATCGAATAGAGCAATTAATCACATATATGTTTATTTCACACAGTAACTGAAAAGCTTTGAATTACTTACTCTACAGAAAAACACATAAAAATTGCGTTGAACAAGCAGCTGATGTGTCAAGTATCAAGCATGAGGAAAGTTGCCCCCCAAAGCAGTTTTTAACCCATGAGGAACACGTATCTTTGACTCAGGTGAAGGGCTGAAAGTACATCAGGAAATGACAAAGCCAAGATCAAAATCTACTATGGATAAAGTGAAAACACAGACAGAGGTTAGAGGAGAGAGAATGTGATTTTTGTAATCTGCTGCTTAGTTTTAAATGAGAGATATTTTTTTGTTCAGAGTACAGAGTGCATCAGCAGAAGAGGATCACCGTTACATCCTATCCTGGCATTAATCTGACGGATATTGGGAATTTGAGTAGCAACAGAAGCGTGGGTTGCTCTGGCAAAATTCTGACTGCACATGAAAGGAGGGGAGTAAAATGTCTGAAATCAGGAAGCTAAGGGTCTTGATAAAGCTGTGCTAAACTGCTAGTTGTCAGGTTGTGAGCTTTCCAGGTAAAATAGACATCAGAATGATATTCTTGATGTTAAAAAAATTTTACTTCTGAACTAATTTAATTTATTGGAAAGGACGTGAACTATTCAATTCTTTCAAGATTTAATAAGAACAGAGGGAAAAAGAGAACTTTTGCGCCTAGTTGTTAGACTCTGTCCCAGTCCAACACCAGATTTGAGGTGATAGGACATATATCAATAAATTAATAAATACAGTCTCTAGAATTTAATTATTGTTCCTCCCTATATGTCAGGCATATCCTTACAATGGCCCTCACATTTTGGATGCTGAAACATAACCTTCCAATAACTTCCAGACACATCTCTGAAAAATTTTTCCTTTCCTTGCATGTTTGCAGCCCTTGAGTTTCTCATAGAATATCCTGATGATCTTTTGGAAGGAGCAAGAGTTCACAAATGGAACTATGATGAGAAGATAAAATATTATTTTTCAAAGGTGAGCTGAATAGGAATCAAAAGGACTGAAAAAGATTATTATAGTTAGGACATTTACCAGAATATAGGTAAATGTATAATATCGATATCTGGGGGTATGTGTGTCTAAATTCTGGTTATGGCAAAGACATAATTATTGTCAAGGCTAGATTAGGAGAATTGCTGTTCAAAAGAGTGGGAAAAATCTGGCTTAGTTTCAGTACTGAAGAAGTTTTTAGCAAATTCTTTTAGGAGTTTAAATCTGTGTTTTCCTCTTCCTTTTTCTCAGTATATTAGACACCAAAATAGGTCTTTCTGCTCTACTGTAACTAGGGTCAGTTCTTATGAAGGTAGTTGAGTAATTTGCAAACTCATTTTCTCTGTTTTTAATAGAAATTACATTATTTTGTCAGTTATACAGTTGTTTAAATGTTATTTGAACTCCAGAGTGGATGATGTCCTGTCCCACTGAATTATTCTGATTTGGTTTGTTCTTCTACATCTCCTTGTGAGAGTGCTTCAGTTTTGGTTTGGGCAGGTATTTGCCCGGTATGCTCCATAAGAAAGCTTCTTCCAAATGAGTAGTTATAGTCTAAACTGCCCTGTTCAGGTTAGAGGACTTATTTCTTTTCTTGCTTATGTATTTCTATGGGCTCAGAAAGCTTCACATGGCAAAGTTTTTTTGTTTGCAAGATAGTAAACACATATCTCACCCTTGGTTTACATCTAGACTCTGTAGGTAAACTTTCATTGTTAAGTACCTGGTTTTCTTGGGGTATTCTGTAGTCAAGCATGGGATTTCTGGTTGTATGTCAGCACTACCAAAAGCACTCATTTTGTTCAACCTAGTAGAGATCTGGAAATCCTGCACCAATACACAAAAATTGCAGACAGTATTTCTTTGCTGGAAAAGCGAAAGATATGTGAGCCCTATTGAATGAGCTATTCATAATCCCTCATAAGAGGAAGTGAACGCTTCTCTGCTCCCCCAAATTAATCTCAATCCCCAAGTATTCCAAAGACCCACTCTTCAGAACTGAGACCAAGAAAAGAGACATAACCCTCCAAAGCAGATGCGGTAGAGCTCTTTGAGCTGCTACTGATTTCAGCATTGGGGAAATATTGAAAGCCTCATCTGCATAGATTGCATTATATGCTGACACTAAAAATATTGCAAAGACTGTTTGGCTTTACCTGATTGAAAGAGTTTTAATATGGTAGCAAGAAGCAGAGAAATGAAGACAGAGTTTTTCTTTTTTGGAGACTCCCTCTTCTTCCTTGTCTTTTTTCAGGATGCTGAGGAATTCTGGGAATGAGACTCCCACTCCTTGGTGTTTGGTGACCTGCCACTGGGGTGGGTTTCCTGTGATGTGCTACAGTGATTTTTTCCCTAGAAAGGGACAGGGGAAAATTGGGAACCAGTCATGTGCATACTGAATATCAGAGAAGCCTGGTAATTGAGGAAGAGCTATTTCTGGGGCGAGGGGGAAGTCCACTGTATTCTACAGGTGAAGTTTTTTCCCCACTCCCTTAGTTTTTCCCAGTAGCCTTGACTCTTCATCACTTGCACTAAACCTTTTTAATTCACCCCTCTGTGAACAAACACATCTAGTAAATCTGGGCATAGAGCTCACATGAACAAAAGAAGGAGTTGAGTAGAAAAAGATGCAGGGTGATTACAAGTGTGTTTAAAATCTAGCTAAATCTGGGGGTCTTTTTCCCCTTAACTTTATAATCCATATCATGATGTTTTTGAAAGAAAGATGTTGCAGGAGGAAGGGGTGGTGTAGCTTCCTTTATGGTATACTGGGACCCAAGCTGTGCTGAGAAGCACTTCTTTTCAACACACTAGCACAGAGGGAAGTAATTTGATGGCTTTGCAAATATATGAACTTTAATTGTTTCTTATTAGTCAGTTGAATCTCAATTTGCAGTTGCTGAGATGTACCTGTATAGTGACTACGTAAATTCACTTTGTCAACAGTAAGAAAGATGGCGCATAGATAAATAATTATATATCAACAAAAGAGATTCTGACTGAATTGAAAAAAAAAAATAAATCCGGGTTGGGGTTCTGTATTTGAGGGATTACCTTTTTCCCCTTACTAAATAAAATACTTAATGTCTTTCTATTTTTTTGTGTGCTTTGTTTTGTTGTAAATTCAATAATTGATTCATAGGTGATGCTGGTATTAGGCTTTCTTTTTGATGGGTTCTTTCACTGGAAGATTTTTAGTTGTCTGAAGATTTTACAAAAGTTATTACATTATGTAATGAATAAGTGGAATGAGAAAATCTTGGCTTTATGTAATTTACAGAATGAAGTTTGAGTGCTGAAGACAACATCTATCAAATTTAAGTCTCCTATATGAAGACAACTCTAGTCTAGCCACATTTATCCTTTTGGTTCATGACTTATAGTTTCAGGAAAAAGAATTAGAATAAATTGAAGTCATAATATTTATTCTTCATTGCAGGGCAAACAAAAAATAAACCAAATAAAACAACTATTTTAGCAAGTTACCTTGCTGTTATGAACAAAGTATGTAGCCATGGCTCCAAGACAAAAATAACGAAATATTTTCTGTTAAGGATGTGATTTTTCTCAACAACCGTTTGAAAGGGAATCACAAAATGAAAGCAACTGAACTTTCCACTTGTGTGGATTATATGGTATGCTAAAATGGATATTTTCATTGGTGTTAATGGCAAATTAGAAGATCTGGGTTATATCAAAAGTAGTTAATTGAAATAATTAGTTAACATGAGGTCTTACCAGGTGGTAAGCCCTCAAGCATATTGTAGTAGATCGCATTGCTTGAAACTGTTGGGAGAAATAGAAAGAGACTGGAAGCCCATTTTGTTGTAAATGATGTATGAGATCATATAATAACACCCCTGAGAAACAGTAATAATATTGATAAGAGATTTTATCATTTTGCAAAGAATGTGTAAAAATTAACGAAGTGGGGACTGGGCCATCAGGAATAGGTGCTGCGCTGTTCTGTTCTGTTCCTGCTTTGTTGGATGTCATTCATAACCAGACTTCCAGAAAATTCAGAGTAACTTTTTATGAAGTAATGGTAGTGCTGTGTAACCTGGACTGGTGCTGAGTATTTGTCTTGCCCAATCTGTTTTGTCCTTTCTTAAGTGGTGTGATTTGGTTAATGTTTGAGTAACGGGGGAGAAGGGAGAAGAATCTACTTTGGTGCTAATGGCCTTCAAAACAGATATAAAGCAGAAAAATGTCCTGAATTCCCATAATTTTAATTTCATAGATCCATACTTGAGCTACTTAAGACTACCAGAACATGTCCTGGCAAAACCCTTGTATTTTTCTACTATAAACTAAGCATAAATTCAGTGGTAGATGACAGATTACTTCATATACCATGCAAGCAAGCCTAGACAATAGCTTTAGCCATGACTGATTGCCTTGCTGTAACCCACTTTATGTTAAATGTATTCTTGCTGTTCAATTCCACGACTGTAATTTTGTTCTTCTGCACCGCTCAGCCCTCTGTGGACTAACCAGGTTCCTTCAGTAATGATTTCTTTTCTATTGTATTGTTTTCTGCATAATCAAGTTGGTAGGTAGGGGTTTAGGTGACACAGCCATCTGTCAAGTTCATTTGCTCTGAAAATGCAAGAAATAATGGCCTCTACAACTTGGGGCTATCTGTTATAAAGGAAGAATATCAGCTTTTACTCTGCACCATCTTCTCATCTCTTCAAATTATCATTTTTTCTACTTTTTATATAAAATACATAAGGTTCTCTTGACATGACTGATTGGTGAAAAAGAAAGCTATCACATGTCCACCTTGTATTGCAATTTATGCAAGCAATCCAATTAAGGAGAAGCAGCTAACATCCAAACTAATGTGCCTGTCGTGAAACTAAAGAGACTGCTGCAGACTGCTCTGCTCAAGTGTTATCATTGCTGGTTCTCTGACATACTAACTGCTTTCTCCTTGAAGTTTGCATAATGTGTAAATGTAAGGAAGTTTGCATGCCACAAAGGAAAGGGAAAACAGTTATTCATTTTCCCTCCTCTAAAATAAAATGCTCATAATAATTCTTATAAGGAGCCTTTATCAAATTGTATCTGTTTGCTGAAATGACATACACTTGATAGGAAAAGACATAAAAAGCTGCCTTTGCATTTTTAACCTTTTTCAGGCATAGTGGAAGCCAGCTGGAATAATCCAGGAATGATCCCAGTTTTCTATGTATATGTGTGAGGAGGATAGAGTTGCTTATACAGCAGAAAAACCTTTATCCATCATGATACCAGTAGGGCTGGGAACACCCTGGTTGCTCTAGGTCAGAGGCATCTTTACATTAGACCCATCCGCTATTGCCCCTACTAAAATGCAGAATGACAATTGCTTATACTCAGCACAGATCTCAAATGGCCTGGTTAGAAAGAAAACCACTTCCAGATGCCATTATATGGTACAAGTGAAACATGAAATTTTCTACTTCAATGAAAACATAATTATTAAGTGGAATGTCAGACTTTTATCGCACTTTTACTAAACCAATTCCCCCATCATCTGCCTCTTAGGGCCATTGACGTGTGATAAAACTCTCTGCTGGATGAGAGATTCCCTGACAAGGGAACAACTGCTGTTGTTCACAACAAGTCAAATAATGAACCTGAACAGCAGGTGTAAAAATTGATAAACCCATTAATGAAATAAGTTAGCATTTTTAGCCACCTACTGAGTATTTCCAAAATATCAAATCAAAAAAATTGCAAAGGAACTATTCAACATTATATTTCTGCCCCATGGTGCTGAATTTGATGTCCATTGTATCAGTGTTGTGTAACGCATTTAATGCAAAATTGAAAATAGTTCTTCAGTCTTGTCCCTGGAACTCTATAAACTGTGCTCTGATTGTCATTGTCACAGAAGTTAGGCATGAAAAGTCATGCTGATCCCACAAAAAATTAATTGTTCTACCCAAGCTTGCCTCTGCTGCAAATTTCACATGCTTTTTCATCAAAGAATAATATTTTTCTGGTCCAGATAACTATACAGTTTCTCTTTGGGGTTGTATTTTAAGCATTTCAGAGCTTCATGAATCTTGAACTGTACACACTGCGTAGTATATTTATAATCAATTGCAGATGTGATTTTGAAAGCAGAGTTTAATGTGATTGACTTAATCTGTTGAAATCTGGCCTAGATACATGTTGCTATTTTGAATTTTCAGGAAAATGCCTTTTACACCTGAGACCAGCCACGGTGCATCAGATATGTTGGTGTTTTTCTAGAAATGATTACCACCGGCTAAGCAAAAAGACAGGTACCTGACTTAGTGCCATGCATTGTTACTGAGTTCTGGATTTTCAGGTATAATCTCAGAGAATATGAGGGAGTCACAAGTTAGTTCACAGGTGGAAGTGAATGTTCTCTATTTCAGTGTTAAATGAATGGGAATCAAAAAGTATCAGCACCACAAGACAAGTATGTGTGTCTCAAATCTCCCATGAGCTCTTTTTGTATGCCACATACATGTAAAATTTTAAAGGTGGTTGCTTACACTATTTATAGAGTGGATAATATCACATTATTCCCATTGATCAGAATTTCTAGTTGAAGATGTGTTCTCAAAATTTACAATTTATGCTTCATATATTTTGAGAAAAACAACATGTGAGTGATTTGACACATCTAAAATTAAAATTATAATTATATGAAAAATATTATCCTCATCTTTATTTAGTGCACCGTGAAACACACACATACACACAGAAACACACACACAGTTTCCATCTAATAGGGTTATACTCAGTCTAATTCAAACTAGCAATAAACAGGTGCACCTCCTGTCAGAATTTCTTTTGTCTTGGTTATTAAAAGAAAAATAGAGGAAATAGACCTGGACTTAAGAAGGTGTGAACTAGATTTGGGGTAAAACTGGTAAAGAAAAATTAAATTAAATGTTAAAATACTGCAAAGAAGCTTGCAATGGCTGCAGAACAAATACCATTTACATAGACAATGTGCTGTGCTGCTCACACTAAATTGACTGGTAGATAAGTTTGCAGAGGGGATTTTTAAGAAGCATGAACAGCTAGTTGAAAGAGCAATAATTGAAAGACAATGTCTAATTCTGGATTAGTTATCTGGGAATTATTTATTTAGGAATACTTGGTAGAGTTCTATGCTGCAGAAAACATGATACCCAAGAATCAGCAAGCAGCTGAGGATCAGTATTCACACCATCATCACCTTGCCTTCAGTTGCTCTGGTAGCTATACTGGCAGGGTCAGGTGAAAGGAGTGGAAATAGGACCAGCAATTTCGAGTGGTGTTGTGAAACAATAGGGAGGCAGACCTACACACATGGATGCAGACTGTCCAGAAACACTGGATACTTTTCACTCTCTGTGAAGATAATCCTTTCCTTTAGCTCAGTGAACACAAAGCTTGGCTGGCCTGTTTGGGTTATTTGTTTTTTTTACAAGCAAAATTGCACACTTAATCTCAGACTTTTACATTTTAGAGTGTTAGGTGAGCTTTGCTGAAAATCACAGATGTGGGCTTTGGCTTTTTACGTTAAGTAATTCTGAAACCTTTTCTCCCTCTTAAATGCAGAATTCAATTTAGTCATACATATGATAAAAGTATAGGATATGCCTTTAGACTGAGGAACCACACTGCAGGAAAAACAGCATTCAGAATTTTATGACTTAAAATTGTTTATTCTGCTATTAATATTTCATTTGGATTTCAGTACACCATCATTTTCTGAGTATTAATTGAGATAAATAATTGAGATAACTAGTTTATTGCATGTTAGCAAAAGATTTTACTGTGATAGGTACCCCAAAACTGAGGAACAGAAAATTCACAAAATGTAAGGCATTTTAAAGGTATGGGATTTCTGAGAAAGTGCCGAGATTCTACCTGAAAACACAGATTTTCCTGTGCTTTTTAGTTGAGCATGTGCAGTCACTTATTCCTTCTGATACTACTGGTTGTATAATGTATTTATCTGCAAACCCCAGATTGAATCTACACAGTTATTAAAATTATATATTGTATATATCCCTAGTACATAGAACAGATCCCCAAATTCAAGTTCTGATAATTAGGACTTCAATTCTAGAGAAGTTTTAACCTAGGCAGAATTCAAAAGGCTATGATAACTACATTCTGTAGCCACCATCTGCTATCAGATTTAAGGTTCCTAACATCTATTTTCTTTTTAGATCGAATACGTGCCTTTTTCTTGCCAATTTCTAAGAACTTTCAGCAAATGTAACTTGAAATATTTAATACAAACCTGACATCTAAAGTGTATGCTGACCAGTGCATACAAATATTTTCCTGGGACCTCAGAAAGTAATTATGAATGTTGTAAGAATTCATCCCATTTATACCAGTATGATTGGCAAAGCTATAGCTGTTTTATTATATTTTCTGTTAGCAAATATAAATCTAATCTTTGGTAATCACATACTTTCAGTGGTATAATTATCACATATCATTTTGATGTCCTATTAGAATTTTTTAAGTGAATGGAATCACCCAAGATACACTGTGCTGAGCAACTCTGACCAAATAAAATTAAATTCAGTTAAACCCAAATCCAATGCGGTAAATAAAGAAAAACCTTGTTGTTGCTCTTCCTTCATAACACATCTGTTCTTAGAGGAGTGCTTAGGGCTTGTAGGACAAAAAATATAACTGGGTGAGAACTGGATCTTGTGTTTCAGAGAAATGTTTTTTATTTTTCTCTGTTTTTGTTTTTTTTTTTTGTTTTGTTTTTTGTTTTTTTTTCTGTAATGAAATAAAATGAAAACATATTGTCAAATATTTTCTCTTAAAATGACTGAAATATTTTGCTTCAGACTTATTTTTATAATAATATGATATGACATAAAATAAAGGTAATGAAATTAAAATAACTTAAAAATGGCAAAATTCACTTTCAGAATAACGTATTTCAAAGTCTGTTTTAATTTATCTTTTTTTTTAAATGCAGTATGTCATGAAGAAAAATATTTCCATGAAACACAATCTTTTGATGAATTTGTAAATAGAAGTTGCTGAGTTTGCTTTTCAGAGTTTTAAATTTTAATTAAAATCTCAAAAGGGAAAAGTTTGACATTTTTTATCCCTTAGTACAAGAAAGTTCTTTCTAACTATATGTTGTGGGAAAGAATAATTTTGACCAGTTTTATTTGAAACTTAGGACCTTCTGACCCTCCACCCTGCCTCTCTCCCTTGCGCAAAAGGAATTTCTAGTGATGGTAAGCTGTGTTTTTTTATGTGTGACCCACTTTCTAAGAAGAATTTTCTCTGTTGGTTTTAGAACTAGGTTCTGAACAGCAGGTGTGTGGGCAAATTTTAACATTTCAAGGGTAATATTCATAGAATGGTTTGGCTTGGAAGGGATGCTAAACGTCGTCTGGTTCCAACACCACTGCCATGGGCAGAGATACCTTCCATGAAATGAGGGTGCTCAAAGCCCCAGCCAAGCTGATCCTGAACACTCACAGGTATGGGGCATCCACAACTGCTCTGGACAATTTGTTCCAGTGTTCCACTGCCTTTTTCTGAATAAGAGATTCAATATATTGGCAGACACTGAATATAGTTCAACATGCCCTTCTGCTTGAGAGAGGACGTATTTGCAGCTCCTGGTTCTGTTGACTTCAATATTCAGTGAGGACCAGGAAATGGGACCTGCTGCCATTCTCAGGAAGTCGTTGCTTCCTGCTCAGTTGTGTTCAAGAGAATATCTATCTGTGGGAGTTTTCTGGGTCTGGTTGTGGATATAGAACCTCAGCTTCAGTTTTGTGGCACCTCAGTTTGGAAAAGCAGAATCTGAGATTCATCATGTTAGCTGCTGAAAATCTATTCCCAGGGATATGACCAGTGATGTTATAAAGTCTCTCAGATTTATAAAATGGACAACTGTATCTCACCTGGCTCCCAATGTGGAAGTATTCCAGTATTTCCAATAACAAAACTAAATTGCAGTGAACTATTATCAGTCAACAGAAACACAAACTGACAGCTAGAAGTGACCTACTGGCTTCCCTCATAATAACTTTACTGTCAAGACAAACGTTACTCCCCAAATCTGTAGGACAGTTGTCTTCTGTGTTGTAAACTGGGTGTAGAGATAAAGCATGCTTAGTGAAATTGGTATTTAGAATATAATTAACACAGAATGAAGGCTGGAAATTTAAGCAACAGTCCTCTAGAAACCAAATGAACATACTTTCTTCATGTCAAGAAGTGGGTAATTTTGAAGATAGCAAGAGACACTTCTCCGGCTACTGTTTATTTCAAGCTCTGTCACTCTACCTTAAATCTATAAAAGAAACAGGTACTGAAAAAATAAATAACTGAAATAATTTTGGGGAATGGTTGTAAACTTTTCATTGAGCCTTTCTAAGAAAATTCAGCTAATGAAGAATAGGCATGGTGAAAAATAATACTTACATTCAACACCATCAAAAAATTGAAGCAATAGTGTGTTAAGGAGTTTTGCTGACTTCATTGCCAGTTCTGCATATATATACATGACAGCTTGGATCCTGTAAGTAAAAATCAACAGGGTTTAAACATTTATGGTAACTTTAATATAAATTTTCCCTTCCCTTCTGTCCTAATTTTTTATACCACTGTTTTTTTAAATTGTACCAGCTTCATGTTTTTCTTCACTATTTTATTTTCCAAAACAGTCCTTAACTTCCTTTCTACAAAAAGGTTAAGTGCAAGAAGTGTTTTATAAATTACAAATTTAAAAAAGAAATAAGCAATAGTGAGAAAGGGAGATAAATTCCATAAATTTCTGCATAAAAATAACTAACACTTATTAAAGATCCTGGTTCAAAACCCTGTCTGTGATAATCTGATATCCTAAGGTAAGGCGGCTTCTTATTTTCCTGTGTGTTTTATTTGTGAGATACTTGTTTTCTATTGCTTGACAGTTAAAATGTAATATTATTTTGGTGTCACTATTTAAAATTTTCCTGGTCAATGCTGGAAAAAAAACACATTATACAAGAGACTGCTTGGAAAGTTTCACTCCACCAACACCATCAAGAAAAAATAATGCAGTTCATTCCCAGTATTCCCGTTCAGAAAAAATTTCCCTTTCTTTAAAGAACAATACGACAAGCAAGGTTGATCGGCTGAAATTCCTTTTAATTTAGACACAACTTCTTTGCTCTGAAGTTTTCCATATCATGTGCCTGATTTTTACCTGATTTCTTTTTTTTCAACTAGGTTTGACAGAGTTTTTTTGGTCACTGTTGAAAATCACCAAGATCCTTCCTTTCAG